AAGAATTGTACTCAGAGAGAGAGGCAAGATGGGTGAAGAGGGAAAAAACCCCAATCCAAACCAACAAACCTCTTAAACCTCTAAGCAGCAATCACTAGCTTACCATTTGTAAAGGTTCCGAACTGCAGGCATTTTTAATTAATACTAGTAGAACACTGGTGTTAATGTTCAAAAAACATTTATATACACACACTCTTAATACACCAGCTTCATCTTAAACCTCCTGACTGAAACAGCCATTACATTAGCATGCATCATTATGCTTCTCTAGTGTTAATCTAAGGAGTAAACCAAGTGGTAGCATCCACAGTTGCCCAGCATAGGCATAAGACTCTTGAGTTTTCACAGTTCGATGCCACTAAGCTGATAATTTGTTTTGTAGTGAGAACCTGGAAGACTTGAGGTACAAGACACCACTTGGGAAACTAGGTGTGCCAAATATGAAGGCATTTTATTCTCACTTGGATAAGTGACAAGGATGTGGAGCTGGGAATTCAGCCAAGCAGATGTGCCCCAACACGTCAGAGGGGTGGGAAAGCAGCAACTGGAGGAAACATGACTGCTCTGTGAGCAGTAAGTCTCCAGCCGTCCTTTGTGAAGTGCCTCATTGCCGTGGATTAGGCACACAGGACTGGAAAGACTTCCAGTATCATCATACCCCAATCACCCAACAATCACAGGCATCCTTTTCAGGTGATAGGAATTTTTGTACTGGATCTTAAACACTCCCCTAGTTTTATGCAAGTCAATTCCCTACATTGCCAACCAGGAAGACACACATCAGCCACAGTCTGGCAGTCTGGATTAGAGTTTGCCTGTGTTTGAGCCCTCAATCCCCTTTAATAATTACTGATGCCACCACTCAGAGGGCAGTATTTTTAGAGGTATCCTTGCAGCAGTACTCTATCATCCAATTAAAAGGACATTTAGAAAACTTACTCTTCAGAATTCCCTCTCTGCCCTCTTTATCCAGAAACACCTTAACTGTAACATCTTAAAAAAAAAAAAAGAAAAAAAAAAGGCAAATTAATTTTTACTTATAAGTAACAAAAAGGTTCACCACTCATTCTCTCTGATTAAAAAGTCAAGCTTTTAGAGTTACTAAAATACAAGGCTGAGAACAAAACCTGCCCACTAATTCTTTAGTTGTGTTTTGCTTTACTGCTTTACTAATTTGCTTTACTGCTTACTTTACTTGCCTAAGCCTTAAAAAGCTGAAAACAAAGTTTTAACACTATTTGTACAATGGTGGTTAATACAGTTTACTATTTTCTGCAGCTGGAACATGAGGTGGCATAGTCATCCAGAAATGAACTAATGCAGCAAGGGTTTTCTTCCTTTTCAGTCAGAAACCTAATGTTACTTTAAGCGAACACATAAATGCCTATGCCTTTAAGCTTCAAGACAAAGTACTATTAGCAGACACAGAAAGTATTAAGAGACTTCTCTCCAAACCGAACACACAAAATAGTTCCTTTCTGCATTAATTGTAGCAATTTCATCAGAATGGAAAGAACAGTTTTAGTTTCTCACAGACAAGACTTGTTAAGACTTCAACTTCTCAATAATCCATCATTCCACTTTTATCTAGACTAAGTAGATAATAGGACAGCTGATTCACATGTGATAAGACAATTCAACAGTAATGAAATGTGCTGTTGTCCTAACAGCTGCCTGTATTTGTGCAATTTCCCCATTTAAAACCAAACATGCCACAGGCTTCTTGTATGTGGCAATCCTCCTCTGAAAGTGTCTCTAAAAATTATTTAACTCTTACAGAAAAGAAGTTTGTTTCATGCAGAAGAGATGTAATGAAAGCCTGTTGTCACAAAGAGAAAAAGACCAGCTATTTTTCTGAAGCTGGAATACTTATTATCTTAAGTCTTTCAATCCATAGAATATCTGAAATAAGAGTGAAAGTGACAACTGCAAGATCCAAACATAATTCAGGCTTTTCAAAGTGAAGTTCAATAGATTAAATACAACTTGACAAAGAGGCATCAAAGTAAATTACAAGAGCTATTTGAAACTGTCTGCAGGTCACTTTAAAGTATGATACTAGGGTGCGTATGTATTTCAACAGTTACACCTGTAAGAGCAGGTAGTCTTGGAATGTAATATTATCTTGATATTTAGATTTGGTTTAATTGTTTCACAATTCACATAATGCTTATGTAAAAAAAAAAAGTATCAAGGATATGAATAGAATTTCAGTAAAACCCATTGGTTCTGTTTATTTCAAGCCTACACATATAGAAAACATCCTCCTTCCCAAATCCACAGAAAACTATTATTCACAGAACTTTATCAAAACAAGTCAGAAGCGTACTTGTAAAAGCATTTTATCACATTTTGGCAGCTATCATTTTCCAGAGGGGATTAAAATAGGTTTAAGCATTTAAATTAAGGAATAAGGGAAAAATGTAAAGGTGCAAAACATAAACATGGCATCCTTGTATTTTGTTACAGCACAGCACAGAGACCCCAACAGTTAGTTGCTCATCTACACTTTAGCGCTCAGAGTAATGACTGCCTGAATTGAAGCAGTGTTCCATATAAATCAGAAACAACTATGCAACACATTCAACCTGAAAGTAGCAGATCTCATTTTACAGCAATGTGATCAGCAGCTACAATTTACATAAACAGATTACAAAAATCCAGTCAGTATGAAAACAAAAATATTCTAGGTCTGCAATAGTTGAAGACTATGTGAATATTTCTATTTTATCCCTTTAAGGGACAGTGCTACACATCATGTCTCCCTGACAGCAGGTTAGTCTAGCTAATAAGAATCCAGTTTAGTACTCAATGCAAAAAACCAAGAAGAAATAGAAACAATACTGCAGCTATGGTTATTTAGAATGAAAACACTTTATTTTTTTCCAACAAGGTTCAAAGTCAAACTTGCATCTGTGAGTGCCCACTTCAATTAGTAGCTATTAACAAAATTTGTGTGAAAAGTTTTAGAGATGAAAAGTTTTCACAATTGCTTCAGAATGAATCTTGTTAAATAGTTAGCCCCATGTTTTGTCTAGAGTTCTCATCCTCCCCTCCCCCCTTCTAAAAATAGACACTCATAGGATATTTAAACTAGAAGAGGAATAAATAACTTCATTAAGACTTGAAGAACAAATGTGGAAGCAGAGAGAAAAACACTTGCATTTAGTCTCATTCTGAGACACACCAAGCCATTTAACTCATAGAATAAACATAAATTGTCTAAGGAAGGATAAGATAAGCATTAAAAACAGAAGCATGCTCAATCTATTTTCTCTGTGAATGTTTATCTGTAGCCTACAATGATTACTGTGTGTAGGATAGTAGACTGAAGAGAAAAATTAGACTACGCTGTCTGGCTTTTACAAAGGCTACTAAAAATGGCTTCATTTTTTTTTCCTCCTCTAATGCAGCATCAACTCAATATAAAGTTCCTTACATAAGAATCAACTGCTTTCACAAAATTAAACATTTGCATTGTGCAAAGCTGGAATAACTTCACACCAGTAGGATGATTTGCATAGTTTTGTATTCTGAAATAGTTGACTATGAAACACCTGTTTGACTTTGTACCAGAAAACTCAGCACAAAATATAGCTGCAAATCTCCACACTCAGACAGATGTTCAGTCTTCTGTAAAACTGGAAGATCTGGCAAGATGAACTGGCAAAAGCAACCATTTGCTAATTCAAAATGTAAGCTTAGATACTTTCAAGTTTCTACACATAAAAATGTCCACTCATTCAAGAAAAAAAAGAATCAACACATCACAAATTAGCACTATAGCATCCATCTTCAAAACCTTTCTCTCTTCAATGCAAAATGTGTAAAGACTTCTAACTCCAAACTTGTCTGCTTCAGATGCCAGACAATGAAAACACAGCCTGCTTTAAGTTATGGTATAATGCAGTGGGGCTGATGACCCTCTACACAGCGCATGTGTACTTTTTTGTCCTTTCCTATTCTCCCAGCCCCCCTGCACCTCAAGTGTTAAAACTGTGATAACAATAAAGCAGCCTACAGGAAGGGAGAGATCATTTTATTTATATCTCACTGCAGAAGGTAAGCTGCTGGAGGGCTAATGCTAATTTTTTTAATACCAGCAACAATCTGTAAGCACTATTAAGTAGCAGTACCTGCGTGATATGAGTACTCTTTACTGAGAAATAGGTGTAACTCCTTCAAAACTGAGACATACATAATCATTAAGACATGCTAACTTCTTATCCAGCTAATTAATGGGGTAGCTTTTTCTATCTCCACTCTTCAGCAAGCTCTAAGCAATACCTAAACTTTGACTCTTAGTTACAAAACACTGGATTTTCTTTTTCCTTAACTCTGCAGAAAGAGAAAGATTGCCAGAAGGATTCTTCAGTTTCAGTTTAGGGAATGGGTAAGTCCTGGGTCACACTTCAAATAAGTACTCTTTAAGCAATACAGCCTCAAGTATTTTCAGGGGACATTGAGGCAAAAGACACACTGTTTTTCAAAGATATTAGTTTCATATCAAATAGTATAACATGAAGAACAGCTTTGTGGAGGAATCCTTCATCCTCAAGTACATACGTGCTTCTGCATCACAAGAACATACAGGAAAAGGATTAATTCTGCTTGATTCTTAAGACATATCCTAGAAACAGCATTTTCAGAAAGTATCACATGATAGCACTTATGCATATGATAGTTCGTAAACTTAATTCTTGGATTCACTGAGACAACTATATGGAATTAATGGAGTTATACAGCTAGTAAGACATTTTACTCAGGTCCTTTGACCGGATATTACACATGTACATTCTATAACAGCAAAACTGATTCCTAGCCTTTTGAGAACTAAAGAGAATACAAGAAGCTGAGTCTGAATATAGTGTTAATAGTTTAAATTAAGATCATGACAGAAAAATAATTTCGTAATGGAGACATCGGAATCCTGTTCTTACAGTCTAGTAGCTGCCTGAAAACAGTAAGAAAATTCATTTAAAATAAGGCACAGATACTGACAATGTTTAATACTGTATTATTGATGCTGTCAAAATACAACTTTTGGCAGTTAAAAAGAATGCACTATTTTATTAGTAATGTCTCAATAACAATCCTCAAGTCAATCTTACCTTGCCTCTAGAACAAAAGCACCATCCACAGTTATGATTTGGTAACTCTATGACCACATACAAGAATTCATTAAAACTCCACATATTTACATCTACAGTCAAGCCAGTTTTTTAAGTACTAGGGTATCCCTTTAATCAATTACAACTATTACTTCTATTATCAGAAGTAAATGGCCTTGAGTTACTTCATTTTGTCCATTAAAAAAAACACAAGAGAAAAGATCTGAGTTTCCATTACCTTTACAGTATTCTCCTTGAGGAATAATCTAAGAGCTTCAGCAATTGCTACCCAAATTATGAAGCTAGACTCTATGTTACTTTTACATTTAATTGGTCAACAGAACAGTAAAGTAATACAAGAATGTTGTCATACTGTAGTTTCTTTAAATTTTTAATTGACAGCAAGAACATTTGAAAAGTTCTATCTCAAACTCTTCTGAGCATGAAATATCTCTAGTGATAACTAGCAAAAATAATTTGGCTGTGTGCATGTCTCCAGATTGCCCCACAAAGTTATCGGGTTTGGGATGTCCCAGAAACTTTTCTCTGTTAACTGACTGCCCTGGGAAGTGCAAAACCTTTGGATATTCAAATAACCAAAAGCACCAAGTTCTGATGACATATTTCTACTTGGCCATTAGAAGTCAGCAATAACAATATGTAAACTAAATACAAAATGAAGCATCAGGAGGCCTAAAGTTGTTGACCACTACAGGAGTTTAAAATTCATTTCTTTAATCTGTAAAGCAAAAACCACTTGGGGCTATCAAAAGACTTTTCTCCTGCACAGCAATAAAAGTGCACATGCTTAATGCTAGGTATGAGAACAACCCTTGTAAGTACTTAGTTTTCTAAGAAAGTAGATTTGGTCATACATGCTGTGCATGTATATCTGTGTTTTAAGTAAAGAGCTGGCACTTCAGAAGTTTTAATTGAAAAAGCATTCTTTCTAATCACAAAATTAAAAAAGGCAACAGCAAGCCTAAAATCAAGACTCCCTCAGAGCTATTAAGGTATAGCTTTTAAATTAAAATAGAACAGCATAGCAATATGACAGCAAAAGAACTTATAGCTGTATTCTCAATGCTATTGTTGGTATAAATTTGCCATTACTGATCAGGCTAGAACTTAATTTTGCAAAAGCTCTTTGTCAGTTTCTTAAAGGAGGTAGTATAAAAAGGATGTGATTTGAATAACATGGCCTCACCTGGCTGTAAACATTTCAAACAATAGACATAAATATCTGTGATAAAAAGTACTGCGGAACAGATTCTAGAAATTGGTATTTTTTGAACTTGAAAAGAAAAAACAGTAGATATATTTAATATATTTACTTATTTGCATGTAGTTTAAATGATACAGAACAAGATTACTGTGTTAGAAATCCACATACAATATAAAAACATTTGTTAGACATAAATTCACCATTCTGCTGACATTTGCAATAACTGTTTATCCAAGCTTAACTTCAGGTATTTATAATATTTTTTCATACATGAATCTTTGTATATGTGCAATATTTCATTAACTACACAATGTGAAACCCTGATTTTCGTCATTTTTCATCACAATCATGAACATAATAGCTATTTGCATCTTAACACATTGGCTTTTCAAAACACTAGTAATTAAGGCATCTTTGCTGTATAGTTTCTATTTAGTGCAAACAAAAACTGTCTTTAATAATTTGATTAAAACATAGAAGTAACTGAATATCCCAAAGATGTTTTTTTTTTAATGTAATTGGAAGATAGTTGTGCATTTTGGAGTTCTCTTGTGAAAGAGATATTTAAAAGCTCTTAATGCTGATTGCTTTTGTTGGTTCCTTATAACTGGTTCTGCTGTCTTGCCTTCATGATAGTATAATTCATCTTCTTTTATGCGATGTTGTAGGAAAATACAGTAGCATTTAAATGAATACCTAGTAATTGAGTGAATCCCAAATGCAGCAAAGGCATACAGTTTTCATAGCGCACTTTCACCTCACTGAAGTAAAAGTTGCTCCTACTAGACATTTTTCCACTTCAATGTGAAGTAGATTGCTAGGATTTTGTTAGTGGTTTCATTAAACAGCTTGACAGTTCAGTTCTCTTCTGCCAGTATTTCTCAAAAGGCTTTCTGTACGTATTTCAGAGATACTTTAGGGGATTGTTTCACCACATGAGCACACATAGTTTCTCAATCATGTCAGTGTAGCTGTAATAAATAAGCATTTACATCCTAGAAGGAAAAAAAAAAAAGGGAGAAAGACTTTGTCACATTATTTATAGCTGTAATATCAACTCTATGTCTGAAGCGGGGTAACTAATCAGGACCATAACACAAGAATAATTATATTAGGCCAAATTTCAGAATAAGTTATCTTCATGATTACTTTCAATTAATGCTTTCAATGACATTTCTCTATCTACTAAAAAGCCTGCAAGAACAGCAGGATTAGTTTACAAAGCCATCAATTTAGTCTGTTATCCCTCTGCTCCCTGAATACACAGCAATGATAATCATCATCATACAATCATGCAGTTTAAACATGTCAAGTGTGATATTCCTTCACCCAATCCCTCCAACACTCTTGTACCCAATCCTTCCAACATTCTTGTACTGCTTTTGCTCCTGACTCTCTCAGGTGACCATGGCCACAATCTATCCTGATATATATTAAGAAGCAGGCAAATGAGCATAAGGGGAACCTGAATCCTAGAGAAACAAACTGACACTAGCTGTTATGTTGATCTAGCAAAAGAATTAGGCAGTCAATGTTAGATGCCCTCACAGTTGGGAGTTAGAACACAGTTATTCTGCATCCCTGCTGACAAACTCTGCAAGGAGCTCTTAATTATCCTTGTAGAGATACCAAAACTGAAGTCACGGGTGCACAGCAGTCCCAGAAAAACAAGATATAACTTACTTGTTTGATACATCAAAATAGACCAATTCTGTAGGCACAGAATTATGGATTCCACAAAACTTCTTAAGATGTAAGTAAAAGATGCTAAGTTCTTTTCAAGTTCACTCAAATCCTGCACATAACTAACCAAGTGTCTGCTGTAAGCTCTTTCTCACTTGTCTACCTCCACCAGGTCTCTCCATGTGGAGAGGTTTTTTGCTCAGCATAACTCTTGGTGCCCAACCTCAGAAAGCCATGTTACTAGAGATGAGAACAAGCAGCAAAACATGCATCTACCAGACACCCTCATTATATTACTGACACCACAACCTACTGAGAAAGGCAAACAGGGATTCGGCTTAGATAGATCTACTCTTCTGTTCTCCACAAGTTCATAATTTTCTAAGCATTAGGTCAGCAATAAGCTTTAAAATTTAGTATGTTGTCACTTGCCCTGTCACCTGATGTGCAAGTACTAATGACATTCCTGAGCTAAGATTCTCCATTCTGCCTCACACTTACAACCATGGGTACAACAGATTTCAGAGAAAACATCTGTCTTTTCCACAGTCTACCTACTCATCTGAACCCTTTTTTACATCAATTTTAAGGCTTATTACTATTAGCTACTTTGTTATTAAGGAGATGCTTCCTCTGTAAAGAACGAAAAAAGGATAAAAAACTATACTACTATCATCAAAGGGAATCCACTCCAGACTTCTGTAAAAATCATGCAATACGCTTGAGCATTAGTGGAAAATAAGTAAAGGTATTTCTATCCATCCACAGTTTAGCATAAATAAAACAAGAGGAATACTGCCAGTGATACAACTTCGTTTGCTACTGAACACAACTGGAACTGGATTACCTTAGCTATACTACCAGTATATCCTGGAACCATAGTAAGATGATTCTCCTGTTCCCATAAAACACTCAGCTGTTGTTTTAAAATATGAATATTCCTGAAAAAGAATGAACAACACTTTATAACATATGTAGTATATTTCAGCAGTCTTTTTGACTAAAATGCATTAATACTGCATACAGACTTAGCCTATACAATAGATATCACCACAAGATCTGAAAAATTTTGATCCAACTTCTACAGCATTTGTATAACCCCTGATATGACTATGTTCTACATGTACTAAAACATCGGTTAAAAAAAACCAAAAACCAAAACAAAACCAAAAACTTGGATTATCCTTAAAGTAAGCTTCCAAACACTATCTGTGTCTTATGAACAGAACTATTTTTAAGTACTTTTAAGCTTTTACTTTCAAATTATGAGTATAATTTTGTCTTTTGTAGGCAAGGCTCCTACTGATCAAAATTAAAACATTCTGAGATGAAATAAGCTACAGAAACAAATTTAAATATTTCCCAACACTGTACTCACCCATCCTCTGCCTTTTCTGTATGTGCAGATAGTTCTGACCACCATCTTTTAATGACAGCCTGAAGCCAGTTTAAACCAACTATCACATATCTGTAACAACATATTTTACACATTATGCACTTCATCCTCCACATGCAGTATCTACAGGTCAGATAGAGTGTCAAGGTAAATTGGCAAGCAATTAAGAAAGCAACACATTTGCTGTTCTGGAAGAAGAAAAATCTAAACAAATTGGCAAGTTTAAATACTTGCGTACATTTGCCATTTCTAAGTGGTAAACTGAAGTTCTTGTTTAAAAAGTAGAAATTTCTCAGGTATTTTGCCTGAAAACTCTGCCTTGATTTTATGTCATCAAGCATATTAAACCCTTAGTGCTATTCTGTTTCACTGTTTAGGATAAATAAATCTGCATAAGGGCAAAACCAGTCCTCTCCCCCAAGTCCTTAACCTTGCAGAAAAGTTTTTGCACCTCTAGTTTGTTAAAGGATAAAGACTCACAGGAAAGCTCCCCCTCAGGTAGGCATTCCTGAGAAAGGCAGAGCTGGGAGAAGAGGCAAAGGGAAAAAGAGTCAGAGGACTAAAACCCATTAATTTCCAGGGCTCTGCATAGCCAGAAGTAATAAGTGTTTTGAAAACTTCCAGAATTGATACTTACTCTTCATATTTGCTTTTAAGCAGAGATTTCACTAAAGGCAAAAGATCTACACAGCAGCCAACTGAAACATATGCTTTTTCTTCCTGTAAACTTAAAAAACAAGATGTTTCAGAAGTGTTTGAACTCTAATGTTGTTATAGGAGATTCTAATCCCCCACTTTTTTTTTGTTTGTTTGTACCTGTTTGTAAGAACAGGAAGGCAGTCTACTACTACTCCAAGATCTTGTATCCTAGAAACATTAAGAATAAAATCAGAAATGTTACCAAAGTATATGCTTCCAGTAGAATTTAAAAAGTATAACAAAGTTACAACACTTAAGGAGCTGCTGAAAATACTGCAGCATATTTGGGATTGCTATTATTTTAAGAATATAAAAGAGACACTTATTTTACCTCACTAAGTAGGCTACCAGTTCACTTATACTTCTCCTTCTCCAGAAGGTTAAAGCTACATTCAGCCTCAGATTCCTGCTGAAAAGAACTTGAGCCATAGTTTCATGGTCCTGAGAAACCTATATGTTTTTGAAAATATAAAAGAAGTTTGCCACAAGTTAAGTAGCCAGGAATAACACAATAAACTGCTCTACTATAGTAATCTAGTATATGAAAATATACTTTTCTACCGGTATGCTGATGAGTTTGTTTTAGAAATTTAGCTGACGATGGCCTTAAATCCATAAATTTCCCTTAGAAGGGGACAAAAATATTAAACCTACTTTACGCCAAAGCTATAAGAATAAGGTTCGTATCTCTTTACCACCTAAAGAGAGGTATCTAATAATGAAATAGAGCACTCATGACCATCAAACTGTAATTCTTATGAACTCTGAGAACTTTTTACTCAGATGATTAATGATTTTGACACAATTTAAACATAAATAACTACATGTTCCAAATTCTGACAGAAAAGCTTCATTTCTGAAAAAAGCTAGTTCTCTGAATGAAGTTCAGGTATTTTATTAAATAGACCTTGGATTGGAATGGACACTGCAGAGCCACACACATCTCTCCAACCAGTTAAGTAGTTAAGTAGTCATCTGTGTTCAGTGATCTGGTCCTTAGTTTCTCAGAGAATGAATCTTCCCCAGTATCCATTTCTTTACCTTTCTTTCTGCAACCTCTTTAACTGTAGCTATTCTGCTGCTCCTTTCCTGAAACTATCAAATTAAACAGTGCAGGATGCCACAGACTTGCACCTTCAGTCCACCGAACTCTCAAGGTTCTCTTCATAGAAGCCCAAACTTACAGCACCACGAAAAGACAGCATGGTGATAGTCTTTGATCTTATCTTCCCTGCCATGCCTCAGGGACTTAAATGGCCTTCACTGTCACAAAACCCATTTCATTTAAATGTATGACCTTTTAGCCAGATTCAGGAGCCCTGAAAGCATCTACTACATTTCCTCAAGCAATCTTAACAAGAAATACAGCCTTACACAAACACTTAAGTTAGTTTCACACACACAAAGTTGATACAGATATTGAAAATAGTCCAAGCCTACCTCACCAGTTTATTCCCATTGATACCCTTTCACACTTCCATAAACATGTAAATGGCCATGTGTTCAGTCAGATCATGAAACCTAACCAAGTCAAAACAATGTTTTCCTTTGCTGCTGGTACAATTTTAACCCAGTCTAGTCTGGCAGATCTGAGCTTCTGACATGACACAAACATGGGGAAAACTGGCAGGACTATTACTGTTGACAACTGTATCACCATAAACTGACAGATAGTGACTGTAAATCACAAGACCCGAAATTTAAAGAATTGAAGAAAATTAATCTATATGAAAACTTTCACAGTTAACTACCAGGAATACTTTTATTTTAAACTCAAGTTTCTTCAAACGTTACTTACCTCTGAAAAAAATCCACTGTATTTGGATGAGGGGCCTTCTGTTTGAGATGAGCCAGAGTCACTAGAATTTAGCAAGTGCGTACGACTGTTGTGAAGTTTTGCTGGCAGATTCCCTGCACAAGCCAGTTCATTTTCTTTATTTGCCATGTCACAGCCCCTAGATTTAGGGCACAGTTTCTTTCTGTAACAAGGCTTTGGAGTATAACAATGAACTTTTCTTTTACAATATACCACTTTGAAAAGAGAGAGGGGACTGGTCACCGTTTTTCCAACCGTTATTCTGCAATAACAAAGCAGTATTTTAGTGAAGGTTGCTCTAAACCTAATCAATACTTTACATTATTAAGTTAAAATATATGATTATAAATTCAGTAGTCAACTTCCAGGTTATTGAAAACGTTTTTTCCCCAATATATACTTTCATGACATTTGGGTTATCAGAAGAAATGTCACCAATATTCTTCTCTGTTTTTATTAATGCAGAGACTTATTACGGAAGGGAACACAAGAACCAAGAATTGTCAGTAAAATCAAGACCTATCTTCCATTTGTGTCTGCTTTGGTGTTGTAATTGATTTCAACTGCTTCTTCCTCCCTACCACCATTGTACTTGAAACTCAGATACTACAGAGCACAGCCATCCTACCTGTTTGTGTATGAAGCCAGCTGTTTTGGAGATTTCTTACCCTGGGAGAAAGGAAACAGAGAAGAAAAAAGCTTTATTAATAAAAAAGGCCTAAACACTCCCATTTATACTATTTAACATTAACAGTAACATTTACATTGTGCACACCAGCAAAACAATGTTATGATCTTTTTTGTTAACACAGAGGATATTGGCATCTTCACCACTGTTTGAAGAGATCTCACAGTGAGTTTACCTCTCTAGTGCTTCCTCTTTGCTCCACTGCCTTACTCTTCAGCCAGTAACACAGGTAAGAGGTTATGAAAACTGGTTTTGAATAGCAAGAATTCAGTGAAATGTGTGTTACCAGACAATGTGGTAGATCAAGCTGTACGATTATAAGACAACAGATCCATTTCAATGCAGGTGTTTCACCTACTCCACCTCTCACTTGTATCATAGAGCTCTCTTGGCAAGAGAGAACTTTTTCATGACAGAATTCCTGTATTTAAACATTCTTGGCTAGATTGCAGAAAAACAGGTATGAATAAAACCGTATCAGTACCTACTGCTCACCTGGACAATACAACGCACTTATGAGTGCAGCCTGTGTCTATTGTAATGCATAGTTTTCATAATGTAATTGCTGTTTAAGCTAAAGCTCTATTATCTAAACATGAAGTGCCTAGTAGTGCTGTGCTTCTAGTTTTAGACTGCTCAGAACTACAGACCTGTTTGAATGTTTACTTTGGTTTCATCAGGGGACATAAAAAAACCCAACAAACACTACAACCAGCTCACCTCCTTCATGATCTTTTTAGTGGAAGAAGAGATTCCTTTTCTGCGGAGATCAATGGGATGACCTTCAATATGCAATACTTTCTGGTTTTTAACATTGTGAGCTTCAGATGCCATAATCTCTCAAATCCCTGTTCTCAAGGGAAAGATATTTAGTTATATTTTAGTTATATTTTCTAAAACATGCAGTCAACTTTCTTCAATTGCAGCTGGCAAAACTAGGTAAAAGAATTCAATTATTTACAAGATCTTCCATCATATAAATAACCCAAGACATCATCATTTAGCAAATGTTAGCTGGAGGCCTTATCATTAGTAACATGGTGATTAGCATTTCATAATCCCTATTTACCTTTAAAAAAAAAAAAAAAGACACAAACCCAAAATCACCCCAAGAAACAGATCTTGTTTTCAGACTAGCTTTGTGTACACTTGCACTGAGGGGTGCCATACGAGCAAGAATTCAAGAAAAGAACAAGGTAATTTATGAGACTCTTTCCTCATACTATGAATTTCATCTGTTGCCTAGAGAAAAATAACTAGTCCCACAACTGCTTCCAAGAGAGAAAGGCACCTAAAAAAATAATTACTTTTTTTCAGGAAGAAGGCAAACTTCCTCAAAATAGCAAAGGTTAAAAAAAATGGAAGTAAAAGATCTTCCCCTTAATTTATTAGCAAATGCACTCCTGTCCATTTTTTTCAACGTACGACTTTGGCTATTTTCCATACTAAACCCCATTATTCTATGTCTAAAGTACTTCGTCTTTGGAAGTATGCAAATATTTCTATAAGAAGCAACACCAAGATTGAGACACTTGTACATATGATTTTGCATTTTTTGGAAGTGATCAGAAAATTCATTGCTTGAGACTGGATTCAACTACTATGTCATCATGGAGCATTATTCTTAAAATGTTTTAGCAAGACATTCTACCCTACTTTTAAAAGACAACGACTTTCCCTAATATTATTGTTTTTTCCCCTAATATTACTGTTTTTTCCCCTAAAAGGTAAAACTCTAGTCCCAACATGAGTGCTCTAATCTCTTCCCTCCACTTTTAGCAACAGCCCTATCCTTTTTCTTCTATGTAGCAGATTTATCCCACATTAAGAACTTCAGTATTTAAAACACTAAGACACTGAGCGCTGAAAAAGCCAGATGGCAAACAGCTTATTAGCTATGAAGATCCTTCCATACGGCATCTAAAGGCCATCAAATAAAATAAGCAGGTGGCAGGCTCGAAACAAGACAGAAGTTGTACTTTAAACATAAGGCATATTAAAATCCATATTGTAAGGTACAGTGGAAGCAAAAAAAAAAAGAATTCTTCAAATGTTTCAATTTTCTTTAGAAGAGGATCAGTACTAAAGATCTCATTTGAGACCTCTCTCAAAAAACGGAAGATTTACTGACAGAATCCCTTACTCTGTAAGATGGGACCATCTTGCTCAGACTACAGCAAGCATTGCAAATGGTAGCATTATTTAGGACAAGACCTATAACAGTTGGTGGTCAATACTTTTCCAGATATAAGGCTGGCTAATAACTTGACTCTTTTCCACCCTAGGGGATGGTTATAACAGAGTAGTTATCACAGTTAGTTCTCTACACTTCCAATTTCTAGTTCTTCCACACCAAGCCTATAAATAAATATTAAAAAAGGGTTTTCCCCCCCTTGAAGTTTAGAAAAAAAAACCCCACAAACCAAACAACTTCTCCTCTGCTTATGGTTAAAACCATTTGGACTCAAAATGGGCTATGTATTAAAATCTGAACTTTGAGCACAACACAAAGGCATATGCTGAGCAACTGAACTTTTGAAGAAAATCCCAACCCAACAATCCTAAAATCCAAACAAATCAAGCCTTATATTCAGGCCTATGATGAAAGCAGAAAGGTAGGAGAACTTGGAAAAATCTTGGTATTTTTTTTCATCCCGTTTTTGACAATAAAGCTGAGAGTAAAGCAATAAACTCCAAAAGAATAAGGAGGACAACCTGCAAACACCAGAGCTAACCCCCACAGGATCATCTCATCAGAAGCTAAAAAAAGCCATAATCTCTGTACCTGAAGAATAATTTTTCTGACTACTCCCTTAACACACTCCCAGCTTACAATCCTTCATGCCTAACACTGACCTCTCCTTCCTCTTTCTCACTAAGCAGTACGTAGGAACCTGATTGCCAGTAAAAGGACAGCACTGTATAACTAGAATGCCCTTTAATTAATAAAGTGTAAAATATCAGGTTAGAAAAAAACGTCTTACCGAGGAAATTCAATTAGCATGTCAGTATTTAATATTGGGCTCTAAAGAGCCTAAAGCAACATCTCAAAATACCTGAACTAGAGGTATCTGAACTGGAGAGAAAGGACCCTAGAGGGGAAGAAGTTCCCTACCAAAAGTTGCATGTGTCCAAGAAGAAAAATTAAGAGAATCACACTCTTCGACAAATGTGATCTAAAACATATTACTCTCCAGCCTTCCAGTTGAAACAGGAAGAGACAACAGAACTATCAATTCTTTCCTTAAAGACTGGTAACAGAAATCCAAAAAAAGGCCAACAGACAATCAAATGTAAAGGTACATCTGATGAAGCAAAGTAGAATTCTTATGTATATAGGAGAGCTTTCCACAGTTTAACCTGCTTTGTGAGGGTCTCAGATCATGCAGAAGCATCCGTGAATATATAAGCAGTAATGAAATAGCTGTGTTGTTAGGCAAGGTGCAGAACTTCTCCCTTGGAGCTGACAAAGCACCTAAGGAAATCACGTTGAAAATATAGTCAGTATTTAAAGACAGCCTGAAGGAAGATCAAGACTGACATCTCTGTTGTGCTAATTAGTAAAAATTAGTCAAGAATAGACTTAGTGGACACAACCAAATAATATACTGGGAAAGATTCAACCTGGCAACAAAGCCTGGAGATGAAGAGGCTCTGGGGTGACCTCATTGCAGCCTTTCAGTACCTGAAGGGGCTACAAGAGAGCTGGAGAAGGACTTTTTACAAGGGCATTTAGAGATAGGCCAAGGAGGAAGGGCTTCAAACTGAAAGAGGGTAGGTTTAGATTGGATATTAGGACAAAATTCTTTACTGTGAGAGTGGTAAGGCACTGGAACAGGTTTCCTAGAGAAGTGGTGGATGGAAGTGTTAAAGGCTGGGTTAGATGGGGCTTTGAGCAACCTGGTCGAGTGGAAGGTGTCCCTGGCCATGGTAGGGGAACTGAAACTAGATGATCTTTAAGGTCCCTTCTAACCCAAATCATTCTATAGTCCTCTCCTCCAAAACTAATGGAATTTATCAAGAGTATGTGATAGTACAACAGGGATAAAGGACAGCTGAATGACAGAGACTACTTGAGTTTCCAAAAAGCTTCCACAAGTCCCTCACTTAAATTTTGAGGAAACTGTGCTTCCAAGTCATAAGGGGGAAAGCTTTAGCATGGAGCAATACTTAAGGAACTGTTGAAGTGGTTTCCACACTGCAGAAAGTCACCTCCAAATCCCTGCAGAAAATCTGCATTGGTTTATGCTCTTCAATATATTCATAAGTTACATCACGAAGGGGATGAGTAGTTAATTGATGAAGACTGTTGACAATACAGAGTCACACCACACTGAAAGATGTGGGCTAACTGAAGAATTAGAGGACTGTGATGCACAGTAAGCAGAAGCAATGATTACAGATTAATATCAAGCAAAGCCTGTGTGTCTGCAGGCATGAGGAAATTTTGGGTTCCTACACAGAATCACAGGCTCTGAGCTAATAACTGTCACTCACTAGATCTGGATATATGGCTGTTTAATTTAGATCATTTGGACTGCTCAGTGCTCCATATGGATCAATAAACAGTTAAAAAAATAAACAAAACAGTGACAGTGTATAGAACCAATTTGTGCCTGTGTTTGAAATACTGAGTGCAGGTTTAGTTCTCTTTCCTTAAAAAGAAAACAAAAAAACCCCCAACCTCCAAAAATAAAAACTTCTAAGTAAAATAAAAAAGAGCTCAGACAAAGGCAAGTTAAAAAAGGTATGGAAAAACTTTCATAAAATTGATAACTGAACAGATCAGCCTTTTTAACGTGGAGTGGAGGCTACTTATACCTGGTGGAAGCTACTTATAGCTGAAATGGGAAATAAGACAACAAACTACAAAATTAATGGCTCAGAGAAGTTGCACGGAGACTGTTCACTGTCTTGTCCAATATAAGAATAAAGGGTCAAAAGACAATAGCTGAAGATTGGTTCAAAACTAATAAAAGAGGGCAGCTCTTTGTGCAAATGATAATCAAGCTGAACTTGCCACAGGATACTGTGGACCCAAATGTTTAAGTGGGTTCCAGGACAGACTCTGCAAATTCATAAAAAAAAGAAATAGACTGAAAGTGATTAAATTCAGATACACAAACCAGGTAGTCCAGACAGAGCAGAACACAAGTGGAAGAATTCAGTATATACAAATCCAACACTGCTATAACAAACTTAGTTGATATCTTAAGAAACCAGCTTCCAAAAGCTTAGTAACACCTAACAAAATGCAAGTTGGTTGGCAATTAAAAAGACGAATGCTACAGGATGAAAGACAATTTATAGGGCTCTTCACAACTTTCCTATCTACCACCAGATATCATCTAGGGACATCTAACAGCCCTCAGTTATTCTGGATATATACAGAGGGTGTTTAAACTGACATTAGATACCAATTTGTACAGAGTCAAAAAACATATAATGTTTTTAATTTTTGACTTTACCCTTGTGATGAGCATGGCTAATGGTATTTGTTCAAGACAATCTGTTATACCATCTCACCAAGGCCAATGCAAGTGTTCTGCTTTATAAAACTTTTTAAACTAAGGACAGAATGCATGTTCCTTCAGCTCTGCCTCAATCTATCGTACAATCCTAAATTGTTTTACAACTATAACAAAGCAGACTGCAAATGTGAACAGAGATGGACAATTTCATTAAGATAATAGGCTCAAATTACACCAATTTCCCCCATCACATAGATGATTTCTCATAGTAGATGACGACCTTCCCTTCTCCCCCTTTTGTTCTCCTCAATTTTCATAAAGCAGAAGGACTAGGTAAGCTGATTTGTTTCCACAGTCAACGGACAAGACCTGTGCAAAGTTTTCTTGATGCTTCTTCTGCTACTTTCTATCTCTGATCTCTCCCAGATTCAATAAAACTCTTCAAGCCATACCAGACTCGAGCAAAGAAAGTCAGCACTAAACAGGCTTTCTAGTGCATATCTATCTAAGGCAAGTATTAACAACTCTGCCACTCCCTCCTATCCTATGTTCTGGGCATGGCCCCCAGAGAGGGACAAACTCTTCTTGGCACGTTATATAATCTACACAAGTATTAACATAACATTATTTTCTTACTAAACATAGACTGGAGTACTTTGCATGGCGGCAAAGAAAACATAAAATAGCTGGATATCTTAAGTCATCAGCAATATCTTTTAAAACCAACATTCTTCCATCCTATTCTTTGACCACATTCTTAGTAGCTATTTTTTCCTGTAGCATTCCATGTACACTGGCCATTGCAAACGTTCTTGTAATTCTCCCTCACTCCTTATTAACTCAAGTTCAAGGGTGACAATATTAAACTCAGATGAAAGAGCAAATTAATTGTGACTCCAAAGGAGGGGAGTTCATTCTTTGAAAACATCCCAATGAGGTATACATCAGGGAACCAGTAATGGTCAACTAATTTCTCTGGTCATTATCAGATTTGAAATGTTCACAAGAAACCTCTAACAACAGTTATTTCAAATTTACTTCCAAAAGGGTAATTTGTCTAAAAAAAAAAATTAGCACTATCTTATGATGTAGAAGTGATTTTGTAAGCCTGGCATAATTTAATTTCATTTTACTTCTGAAAAATGTTACAGAATCCATCCGTAACATTCTGTTTTAGAAGGCTTCCACATCCTTTGAATATGAAACAGTTTTTTTTTTTCAAATTCCTTTTCTAGTAATTTATGTACTGACAGTTCACCAGGTGTTAAATACTGAATTTTCTTAAAAAAAAGAAAGCAGACTTCAAGATTGTAAGGAGTATGTTACTGCAAAATTTTTCTGCAACACTATAAAAAGTGCCTTATAGGCTAGCAGGACACAGTTTTTTAATGTGCAATACCTGTCAGGTCATTTGCTCCAGTTTAAAGTTTCTTGTGTTGATAAAAATCACAGGAATTTTGTTAAATATGCAATAAAGACAAAGATTAATTGAATAACTAATTAAGGTAAGTTAGTTTATACCTAAGGTTTAGGCTCATTTTTCTCTTACATATGGAATTTATCTGTGGCCCACTGACAGCCATAATGAACCTCCAAAAACGACTAGAAGTTTGTTCAAGTTGAGCGAGGGTGAACGCAGGTGTGCATTAGCTCTCCTTGTGGAGATAACCCAGGAGTCTAATAACTGAACCTTATTCACCTTCTCTTAAAAAAAAAAAAAAAAGTCAAACAAGTGCCCAGTTTTCTGCATCTGAAGGTACCATTTACAGATATTTTAAGCTGCCATAAAGTACCAGCAGCTGTCAGTGGTTTAGTTCTTTCTGAAGTCATCCTTCGGTAATGAAAAGATACCTTCACCTGTTCATTTTCAGTTATGAACACTCTAGACATAATAAGGTTGGAAAAGTTCTATAACTAACATTATCTGAGAGCTGCTATATAGAATATAAGTTTCCAATACACTGAAGCTCCCATATTAATATTTTTACAGAAGCTTTAAGAAACTACTTACAAAATTAAATACAGTTTGGTTTTTTTTTTAAATTTATTGCTCAATCCAAAGAGTTTTAAAAAAACTGCAACAACATTTTTGAATTCAAACCCAGAAAGAGACATATTCAAAAACTTCTCAAGGTCCACTTAGTGGAGGCATCCCCACTACATCCCCACCTGAACGAACAGTCTATGACTACATTTCACATGAGTTTTCATGTTACCATCAAATACACTTCTATTTGTCACCACAATCCGTTTATAATATTTTAAAAACTTTCTTAATCATAGGCAAGCTCATTACCCTGGGACCAACACATAGTTAAAATTAGAAAAAAAAAATCTTATTTAAATTATTACAATGAAAATAGATTGAAAAGAAAACATTCAAAATTGGGTAAGAGAATATACATACACACTACTATATAATAATACATATGTATTGGAATACTCATGTATATGTTTTCTAGTATACACATATAAAATACCTCAATATTATTTTAATATATTACAATGAAACCCTGAGTTATAAAGTTGAGGAATTCAAATACATGGTAATTTGAGTTTAATGAAATAACTTCATAGAAATTTTAATCAAAACTATTATAAGTTTTGATCAAAACGTCTAAAAACTGTTAATAAGAAGTTAAAGTGACATCTTTTGACAAGAACAAGATGTTCTTTCCAATCAGCAAGGCCAAAGAGGCACTAGACTGCCTTCTGTTATGCTTTAATTTTACTAAACAGGGGTAACTATCCTTTTTTAGAATTTATTTCTCTGATTTCAGCCAGAGAATAGTACAAAGAAGAAAGTGAGAAAAGCAAAATTCATGTTCCAAGAAGAGATGGAAGAAAGCTTCAAAGCAGAGCATGTTTCAAAAACAGAAACAACAGGTATCTAAAACTACCTCCAAATCTCTCTCCTTAGTAAATCTCCCTATTCGAAAAGTCATTTAGATCTGCATGCCAAACTACTCCAGCACAACACTGAAAAAAATACATTTAAAGGCTTTTGAACAAAGTAATTAATGCAGGATCTGATCTTCAAGAACCGAAGATTCCCCCCGCGCCCCCTCCCCCCTTTCCTCCTTGGAATCTGTCACACCCAAGAAATTAAATCCGTCAGCAGGCCTTACACCCAGCTTGTTGTCTTCCCTTTCTCCGCAGCACGGGAGCTTTCCTCGCTCTCCTGGCACGTATCTGCCTCTGTACACGCCTGTTCCGTGCTGGGGCTCATGGCCCCATCTTAGAGAACGCCCAAAGTGCCAGATCTCGCTCGCGGAAGCTGGGGGCACCGCACAGGGCTGGGCAGGGGCCGCCGAGGAGCGGGATGGAGCGGGACGGAGCGGGACGGAGCGGGACGGAGCGGGACGGAGCGGGACGGAGCGGGACGGAGCGGGACGGAGCGGGACGGATCTATCGGCGTCCCCGCCGCCGGCCCGCCCGCCCGGCGCGGCGCTTGTGAGCCGCACCTGCGTCCGGCGAGGCACAGCGCGGCCCCGCCACGCTCCCCAAGGCCGGCTGCCCCGGGAACCTTCGCGGTCCCTCGCCTCACTCACCCGCTGCTCATGGTCCCGGGCCGGGCCGCGGGCGGGGCGGCGGGATCGCTGGGATCGGCGGGATCGCTACTGCCGGGGCCCGGCGCCCCGAGCCTGCGCCATTCAAACGCCGCCGCGGTGCATGCCGGGCCGCGCGCGCCGCCCCGCGCGACACCGCCGCGCCCCCTGGCGGTGGCCGCGGCACGTGCCGCGCGCTGCCCGCGCCACCGGCGTGACTCGCACCTGCCGCGTCCTGCCCCGCCGCGAGACAGCCCGGGAATGCCGAGGAATCTGTGGGTTCCTATGTTCTGTCGGGAACCTCGCAACCTCACCGTGTCTGCAGGATAATGACGCGGGCGTCGTTATGAGCGTGCGACGCTCAGACTGGCTGAGAAAACCATACTCGCTCCACACTCCGCTGGACTGTAACCAGCAAGATCTTTCTGTCCTGGCTACTCTCGAGTGGGAGCAATGGTATTCGTTATTGAAGGTGATATCCTTAATTCGGTGATGGGCTCCTTTCCATAGGAAGGAATAGCCCCAGTGCTCCAGGGACAGATCAAAGGCTGCCCAGGGCAGGTAAAGGGCAGCAAGACCTGGCACCTTTTGTGTGGAAGCAATCCTTGGACGTATTCAGTTTTGGAGGTAGTATTTCTGTTTCAGTGATGGGATCCTGAAAGAGAATGACAGTACTTTTCTGAAGGAAGGAAAGCATGTAGGCTCAGTGTTCCAGGTGGCGATGAAAGGCTATCCAGGGGAGGTAATAACAGGCAAGACTTTGTGTCCTAGAAGCTCTTGTGTGGACGTAAGATTATAGCTGAGTGTACCAAGGTACACTAGCTAAAACTCAGGTAAATTATAGTTGAGTGTGGATAGTTTTGGTATTCCTGAGGCTAGAGTGTTACTAAGGTTCCCTCTTTAATCTGTTGCAACATCTCAGAACATACCTAAAGCCAGTGAAAAAAACGGCTTGTTTTCATCATAAGTGGAGGGAAAGGTGAGATTTATGACACGTCTCCTCTTGCTTTAGTCCTCTTACCCATCATAAATTCTCACCTGAAGTGTGTTATTTCCTCATGCAAGCTCACAGCATCCCTGTAAGATAGAGACTTCATCTGTCACTTATAGGCATATAAGATTTGTATTGGCTGAAACTTTTTTACCTAGTGTACCTTAGTCTCAGTTTTGGGGGATGGGAGCGTAGGCTTTGACAATTTACATCCTTTCTTCAATAAGTTATATGACAATTTAATTTATAACTTGATTACCAAAGCATTTCCTCAGTGTCTGAACAACTCCAAGACTATCTGGATTTAATCAGAAGCTACATTACCACTTCTTGTGATGTGCTTTTTGTCTTATAATATCCTCAGACTTAAAACAAGTTAAACCCTTTAGATACCAGTTTATGACAGCAAACTGCTATACAAAGAAGGCATTTAATAGCATGAAATTTAAGTGCAAATATATAACAGGTCCTTAGGTCAGGTAACGATTCATCTGTAAGTTTCATAACCATATTGATCTTAAAAGTGGTTAGAGTGTTTCACCATCATCATTCTCCTTTTCATCCAAAATGCCCTGGTGATTAGGAATGCATTCTTATTTTCAGTCTAAATTAATTCACATCCTGTTTATTCTACTAGTGCCAATATTACCCTATAGTTTAAAAAACTGTCACTTTCTATTATGTGTATGTGCTATAAGAGAATAATATAAGAGAATAATTTTATCCTCTCAAGAATTTCGTTTCACTTACCTGACGGTCTTGATCTCCTATTGCAGGATAGCCTTTCTGCTTGCTTAATCGTCCTAATGGCACTTCTACCTTCATTTTTGCAGATGTTGAATTTTCTGCCCTGTGTGCACAGTGTTTACTCTACACATGGTTCTCTTACTCATCTGAGCAGCTGTGGATATCCAGGTATATATGGTCACTAAGAGTTTTTAAAAGAATATTTTCTTTGAGCTGTGTACTGATGGAAACTTACCAAAAGAAACAGATGATGATATGTTGTTTTAGAGAAAGGGACAATTACCAGATGATGTACACTACAAAATGCCTGGGCTTTCCAAAACAGACCTTTCCCATGAAGTTTGTCTGGAGCACATAGTTACATACCCAACGATTTTTAGATGATTGCCAGCTAAATGCAGCTGAGTTGCATGCTTATGCTAGACAGTGGCAGAAATGGGAGATGTGTTTCTTATGTGATGTGATCTTATGTTTAGCTTGAAAGGGAAGAGCAACTGGTTTGTCCAGTCAAGGTGCCAAATATTTTTATTACTGGGCCTGGTTATTAAATACATCTTCTGAAAAGAAGCTGCTCTGCAAGTCCACATAGGGGGAAAATTTTGTAATGAAAATGCGATTTCTGCCAAGGGCCCTGTTCTGTTTTCAGAAGCACACAAGCTGTGTACTCTGGCTACGTAGGAATGACCGTGGACCATCTAGCTGCTAATACTAACAAGTTAGTTAGGGCTATCCTAGGGCTCAGCTGCAGTAATTTCTATTAAAAATCTCTGCATCTTTTCCTTTGATTCTGTTTTTGATATGCATAGTTTCAATTGTTTTAAATTACTATCTGGGCCCGGAAAAACAATTTCCTTAGCTAAACATCCTTATACTCTTTCTAAATATATTCACAGAATCACAGAATATGCCAAGTTGTTAGTGACCCACAAGGATCATTGGTCCAACTCCTGGCCCTGCACAGGACCATCCCCAAGAGTCATACTATGTGCCTGAGAGCATTGTCCAAATGCTCCTTGAACTCTGGCAGGCTTGGTGCTGTGACCCCTTCTCTGGGGAGCCTGTTCCTTAGCCTATTTTCCTTTAACTTACTTTTTTTTTACCTTTTTTTTTTTTTTTTTTTAATTTGTGTAATTTGTTCAATAGAATAAAGATCTAATGTTTCTGCTTCTGCACAGAGCTAATAGAGGAGTGCTAGCATACCACACCTGTACGATACTTGTAAAGTTCGAAGTTTGCGTTCAGAGAATGGTACTTTACTAACATTGCTTATTTTAACCCTCTTGAGTCAAATTTGCTATACAGGTAAAACCAGGGGCTTTTGGCAGAAGAGCTACACCAGTCTTATTATTGAACCTGAACAAAATGTTGTGCTTTTAAAATAAATATTTGCAATAAATTCAAACCTCAAGCAATTTTAGCTGCTGTTCTAATATAGAAAATTGTATACTTAAGGAATTTTTTAATAATTTAAATTTTTTGGCAAGGTCTAATTATGGATTTTCAAGGAAAAGAATTACCCATGAGAGATTTCGTTTATGTAATCTACCTTAGAACAATGCTTTTTACTACTCTTACTATGGCACAGTGTGATGTGATAGGACAGCTTTATGAACAAAAGATGGAGTATTTTCAGTCCTTAGAAACATCATGGTTGTAAATGAATTAAGCAGGTTATCAAAAATAAAGCCAACCAAGAGCTTATATATACTCACAGCATGACTTTCTGTACCTGCCCTAAGTGAAGCTGTATGAAATACGAAGTGAGGAATGAGTACTAAGACATGTAAGATAGCAGCAAAGAGCTATGCTTACCCTTTCCCTTCTCTTAAGGACAGTTTTTTTACAGTTACTTTCATGGTTCCTCAGTTCTTTGTGCACAGCTTGACAGATTTAAACAGTCGAATATTCCAGATGGGTAAGAGTCTAACTAGATAAGGTAACTGTGGTGTGATAGGATTTTATAAGATCATGATATGTAATCTGAATCATATTTTTCTGCAGGAGTGAAAGAATACAGATCCAAATATATGCAGGCCTAACATGCAGAAATGTACACATATCTACATTTAAAAATACATTTAAAAATAACCTACTAACTGCTTTCTCTTGTATTCTTTTATTTTTAAAATTTATATTGCTATTAAACCCATTTGCATTTTTAAAGAATTAAAGTGATTAAGTCTGGATATAGAGGTGCTCAGGAATTCTGTAAGTTGTTTCCTTTGCAGAGATCTTGAACTACAAATTATATGTTTGATGTCATCTTCTCAGATGTAACAATAGTTTCTCTGGCAATTTATAGTAAAAAACAGAAATTTTGATGGTGATTTTGGATGCAACATAGAAATCTAATATATAAAAATTGAAAGCTTGAATGTACAGTAAAGCAAAATACTTGGGCAGAGGCAAAGAAAATGGGAAGGATATAATAGGTAAGTTCACTAAAACTGGTTCTACTGTTCAGAGCTGACTAAGGTGTTATGACTGTGTAGTGTTATACTGATAATATGATTTTTTTCTGAAACCTTCAAAAGGAAATTGCATCTTAATATTTTCTGCCTTTTTTTGTGTGTTTGCATTTCCTTCTTATGATGCCCCCTCCCTTTATTTCCAAATTTAATTTCTCACAAACAGCCTACTTGGATTTTCCATTTTTCCTGATATTTTGTCTGCAATAAACTTTTTCTTCCAGATGTTACATAAGTAGTACTGTCCCAATTGATGTTATTTTACCAGACTGGCTTCTTTTTCATTCCTCCTTAGGTAGAATTTAAAGTCAATGAAGTGTACTGACAGGGATCTTCTCTTAGATCTGCCCAGTAGATATCTGGGATGTGCAGTAGATGGGATATTTGAGGGGGTGGGAGTTACTTCAAGACTATTAACTGTTTAATCTTTAGCCTGCAGGTTGGAGACAGAACAGCTCAGGCAGTTGGTAATGGGATAAAGCTTTTCACCTCTGAATTGCCAACTCTGGGCCAGATTAGTAGGACATAAT